TGCAGATGTTTTTCAAGCTTACGCATTCGGTGTACTCTGTAAGTTTGAATCTATCTTGAAATTATAACAGTAAACAGGATAATAATCAGAGTCTGACATAAACGCACTTCTTTCATTCTCACCCCCTGGCTGTTTGCGGGACATTGCTGCGCAAAAACTAGCTACTGTGTTTCACCCACTAGAATACACAATAAAATGTGCTTTACATCCTGTGAAGCACTTTGAGGTGTTGCGATGATGTGATAAGGTGTTATATCAAATGCAAGGATTATTATTATTGTTGGATTGGCCAGGACCAGAAAAGACCATTAAACTCCATCTTCTACTCTCTTGTTCTACTCCTCTTCGACTGCACCTTTGACCACCCTCCTATCCCTACCCTCCCTGCCCTCCACCTCTTCTGATCCCAACTGCCTGCTCGGGTCCAAATCCCTGACTAACCAGCGCCTTAAGAGATGCTCCTGATGTGAAAGGGCTAGCTACACAGGTGTTATTTGTTGTTGTTGTTGAGCCCCTTCAACCTCTAAAATAATCCAATTCCCTCTCGGCACTGCATAGTGTTCTCCCGGAGTCCTGGCCAGCAGTTCTCCCTCCTCCCTCAAACAAGATTGAATTCTGGACCTTTTGTTTGTAGGACGTGAAGCAGACAAGGGATCAACCGAGTTGGTGGGGTTTCAGGAGGTCGTAGAGGTAGGATGAGGCAAGATCATGGAGGGATTTAAAAGTAAGACATTGAACTCAATACGTTAGGGGATGTGGAGCCAGATGAGGATGGGGGTGATAGGCTTGCAGAGCCTAATGTGGGAAAAGACACGAGCTGCAGAATTCTGGCTACAAGTTCTGCAGCTTGCGAAGGGGAGGCGGGTGGTCTGGTTATCAGAAAGTTGGTGTCGTCTTGCCTAGTAATCCCGGTATGTGAGGGAGAAGAGAATAACACCTTTCTACATAGCAAACCAAGATATGAATTGAACTTAAACTTACAATGGAAGGTCCTTTCAAGGTTATTCTACTTGGTGAATCACAGTAATATGGTTACGTAAAGGGGTAGGGTCATCATATGCCAATGGCATAAACTAGATGACTACTGATTTACCATTGTTATTGCATATGCCTTTAAAAGTGGTAAACTAAGCAGAAATAGCCATTTTTTTAGGCAGTAATAACCAAGCCTTTTGCAAACATTGAAATTATATGTAACATCTCTACAAGCGAGAAAGTAATTTGTTTGTGATTCAGAAACCCATTTGCTACTAAAGCATTTGAATAATTCATTTTTTGTTCATATGAATTGCACAGTGGGTGGTCCCAATTTATAATGAATAAATCCAGTACAGATTGGCTTTCAAAGTCAACAAGGATGATCTACGTTATTATTGTAACTTTGGATTGATGGGCCTGGTGTATGACAGGCCGTTTGTAGTTCACTCACTCTTTTCAGTGCACAACGCAATGCACCCAATACACATGGCATCAGAAGCTCGTCTCACCATGCATGTGCTGGCTCTCTGAAACAACTGATCTTTATCCAAACCAATCTTGTGATTTTGTGAATTGGATTGTGCAATATCCAGTGTGCAATATATTTACTGGACTGACCACTCTAAATTGACATATCCAAACATTGCAGTCTCGTGCTGCATTCCTTTACCATTACACAGATTTGCATCAGTGCATTGGTCTCCCTCTGTTTTTGCACTGCAAAAGAATCAATATTGCACTGGTGCAAGACTGAGTTACACCCCAGCAGGTTTTCAGATTGCAACAACTTGCATGATAACACCTAATGTTGTTGCCCTTGATAAGATGGTATGATTTGCAAAATCCTGTGCCTTAATTTAAGTGCAAAATACCTTGATCAGAACCCTTGGTCTTAATTGTCTGCATAATACGTTCCACTAATTTTGCATTTTCCCCAGATGTTGCTGTTATTTGATGCTTATTTTGCATTCTTTGTTCCTGTATTTATTTTTTGTATTGTTTTTGTTTAATTAAATGATCCCTCTTTCCAGATTTCATATAACCTATACTCCAGTATCCTCATTGTTGAAGCCCTGTGATCCCTATCAGAAGTGCTTCCAGGTCAAAGTAAGACTCCCTTTTTGAGAGTATTTAAACCAGAAATGTTCTACACTGTAAATTCTCAGGCCTGCCTCTTAAATAGAGAGCAAATATGATGTATGACTTGTGGGAATCAATAAAGGCTCCCTAGAATGTTAGCTGTAAATATAAATGTTCTTTCTTTTAAACGTGTAGCACTGAGCACGTCCCTGCTTGGCTTTTCTTTTGTGACGGGCCTTTCTTGACTGTTATGCTTCCATGTTGCTGCTACCTGCATTTCTCTCATTCTCTCTCCATCACGATCACCAGTTTCCTTGCCTCTACAGTTGGACCCTGTTATAACATATCACAGGTCTACTTATGGACACACCATATACCACAAGGTGGTACATATCTGGCTTCCAGCACTGGCTGCCCAGCTTCCTGCAAATAGCATGAACAACATGCAGGAAGTAACTTGGGCACTTCCTGCACACATATCAATAAGAAGGACGTTAGTGGTGACCAGCATATTTTAATTCACCTTTATAGTTTGATTTGATGGACCCAAACCACTGAATTATCACAAGATCCCACTGCAGTTTTTGTGATTTCTTTTTAATAGCTTTCATTTTTTCACCGGTCTCCCCAGCTCCACCATTCACAAGATCCAGCTCATTCAAAACTCTGCTGCCTGCATACTCACCCGAACCAAGCCCCGTAGCCACATCTCACCAGTTCTGGCCAGGCTCCACTGGCTCCCCATTACTGAATGGATCGACTTCAAGATCCTCACACTCGTGTTCAATCCCCCGCATTGCCCCACTCTCCCTCTTTCAAGTCCCGCCTAAAGAATTTCCTATTCGACCGTGCTTATGCTCTGCCCTTGTTAAGTGCTCTGAGATACTACCCTATGTGGAGGGTGCTATATAAGTGCAAGTTGTTGTTGTATTTTCACAAGTAGTATTCGTTGGCTTGTTCCCCAATCTCCATACCCTAATTGACTGGGATCAGACTAACCCGCCACATTTAGTATGTTGTCAATGTTGCTCTGCCTGCGGTCATGGGAAGGCACATCAGTTACTTATGGTCACTTGGCCTCACTGCAAGGAAACTGCTTTCTCTTAAGTACCTGCTCCATGTCGTGAATGGCAGGTATAATCCCATGCCTAATGTTCTGTGCTCCTCACCTTGTTAAGCTTCACTTCTTGCATCAATTTTAATTTGTTGCAATGTTGCTACCTTATTGTGCTGTTCTTTGAATTTTCAACCTAAGTACAGCCCCGGTACGACATGCCTCTCCATAGCTCAAGTTCTCCTATAGCCCGGTTGCGCTTCATTGCACATTCATGCTGCTGGCTGGCTCAGTACCTGCGGCAGACCGGATTCTCGTGCTAAAACGACCAATTTCTTGTTCATTTCTTGTTCAACTTCACTTCCTGCTTTGCACACGCGCATCAACAGGAGATGATATTGCAGAGACCTGATGATTCAGAAGGCGGACATTTTTGCTTTTAGCATGGAGAGAGCGCTTGCACAGTCAAACCTGCTATCGCTCCTCGCCGTGACACGCAGTGAGATTTTATGGATCCCAAGCACCATGTTATAACAGGGCTGTGCTGTAGAATGGATGATATTTCAGAAATTCTACAGCCAAGAGTCTTTAATGAAGTTATACAGCTTCAAAATTAAAATTGCAAAATACAAACAGATTGAAAACAAGATACAAGTCTTTAATTTTAAACAGAATTTGAATTGATTGCCGAGGTGAAGAAACTATTGAAAGCAGTTTAAATTTTACGAAATCTATAGTCAAACAAAATGCTTTGGCAACCTTGAGGGTTTCATTTATTTTTATTTTTCAGTTCACATTGGTGAGTTTTTAGTTTGCTGGCACACACAGATATTTCACTGAGGTTTTTGTAGCAAGACCCTAAAGGCTGCATTCTCATTTCTTTCCTGTGGGCATTCAAACTTCCATTTGTAGCAAATCTACGCAGTAATTCTCCTACTTAGAGCTGGGACTCCATCTCAGATTGCAAGACAACCAAAGTAATTCTTTATACAAATGTTCAAAAGAGTCAGAAGGTCAATAACTTCATTTCAATCCTAGACCATAATTGTTCCCAACACGGTCGTGTGCATTACAGACTATGTAGGGAACTCCATGTTTATTACGGCCTATGTAGAGTTGATGAATTGTACCACCACTGTGGCGATGACTGTTTCCCTGAAGGAGGATTTAACACCTTGTAGGCTTGTGCATGTAACATCTCCTGTTCTTAGCCTTAAGACTATTGCCTTAAAATTTAAAATTATGCATAATTTTAACAAAGGGTCTTAAATACACTCTTAACTTGGTGACTGATTCTCGACAACATACCCAAAAGAACTATGTAAAACCAGTTTACAAATTGAAACTGAATTTAAGAATTTTCAGAAATTCAGCATGATCATGGAAAGGAGAATATGAGAAGGTTTGGCTGCTGAATCTGGTTTAAAACTGAGCAATCCTATCATAGCTCTCTTGTTTTATTTGTTTAAATCTTGAGTGTTCATTAATAGGGAAGTGAAAGGGCTTCTTGTTCCAGGAATAAAAGTTGCCCCAATTTTTATTGGTCCCAGATTAGGGCTTTTGTAGATTCATAGGTTAACCTTTCGCTTCATCAGATCTGTGCTGGGTCTAGCTCCCACTGGAGCTATTTGAATTTCCATAGTGTAAGCATTGCCAGCTTGCTCTAAAATCCATCATTCCTGCCACCACCACATAAATCACCCAACACCAAGTTAGGCATTAATGAATCTGAACACATGTGCTGATAGCATAGTCTTTATTCGTTGTAAATACACCATTGGATACATTTTTAAAAAGTGCATGTTTTATCAGAGTTTTGAAGTAACCGTGTTGTCATTGTTAATACTCTTGTATTTGACTTAGTTTTGGCTTATTCTGCTCTTCGCAGTTGACTCCACATTGGACAGTATGTCCGTGTTCCTCGCAACCAGCAACGGTCAGACAGATGTGGCAAATCGCAACGGCTCATCCACCCCGCCCAACACTCTCAACCTTCGCTCCTCACACAATGAATTGGTGAATGCTGAAATCAAGAATAGCACCCCTCCAAAATGCAGGAAGAAATACGCCCTGACTAACATCGAGGCCGCCATGGGCCTGGGCGACATGCCTCCCCCACCGGTCCCAGTAAACAACTCCGCAAACTCCAAACTGGCCAAGAATGGGGAAAACCAGCTGCGCAAGGCAGCAGAGCAGGGCCAGCAGGACATGAACAGGAACATCAGTGGGAACGTTGTTAAAAATATCATCTCGGAAAAGTTGGAGGGCAAGGAGGCAAATCCGCAAGATGTCCCCAGCACTGAGGCCGTGGCATCACAGCCAAGGAAGAGTAAGAGCTTTCTGAATTACTATGTAGACCTGGAGTCAGCCACTCAGGAGTTAGTGCAGAATCAGAGCAATAGCCCCACCACCAGTGAGGAGAGGGCTACACAGTCACACACTGAATCTGCATCCAGCGATGAAGTTCTGGCCAGTGAAGAAAGTGCTTCTGCCACTCCTGAAGATTGCCAAATGGCCACCATTTCCTCCAGTCCTGAAGGCAAGAAAGACCCGCCCAGGCCAGGAGGAAGGGCAGACTTTGCGTTGAGCAAAATGCAGAACCTGATTCCCAGTGATGAAGATTCGAGCTGGACAACTCTGTCACAAGACAGTGTGTCATTGACTGCTTCACCTGATGAAACAGGTACTGACATTACCCACTTTTCTGTGTCTTATCGTCTCTGTTTTGCACTGTGTGCCAACTTAGCTGGTCTTAGAGATGTCAGCATTCGGGAATAACACTCACTGGGGCGAGAAGCTGAAGTGTATCATATCAGCTCACGAGAGATCCCACTACCCTCAACAGTTATATGCTTGATATCTGGGCCAGTAGATAATGTTGGAAGCTAAAAATGTATCAGCACCGGTCACTTCTAAAAACTTGCATTGTGGGTTACATCTTACAGTGTATTTCTATGTAAAGTACTAGTACATTAGCCTGATCTGTGTTGGTAGCTCTGTCCATCAAGCTGCTCAGATTGCAGGCTGATGCCTCCTGTGCTGACAGGATGCTTGTGTCTAACATGAGTGTGCCAAATAGGCTGGCCACTCACTCCTGCCTACCCAGTTTCCTCACCTGCATGTCAAGCGTTGACATGGTAGTTTCACTATCGCACTCCTCTCCACGAGCCAGGGGTGGGCTCAGGAGGAATCAGTGAACTCAAAATTCTTCAGCTGTATTTAATATTTTTAAAAAAACTAAATAAAATATGTGCTATAGGGGAATGGAAGCCTCTGTAAATGACAGAGTATAGTTTCAACAGAAGGCTTATATGCTTGATATCTGGGCCAGTAGATAATGTCCCTCAAATGGTGATGAATGGTGATGAGTTTAATGTCAGTAAGTTAATTTAGCTGTTTGGAGATGAATATACATGAGAATGCATAGGACCAGGAAAGACCACTGCGGGCCATCTAGCCAGTTCCAAAGCAAAATAAAATATATTTTAAGAATCCTGGCATTTGAGATGTCTGAAGGACATCTGCTTTACATGATTTACTATGAAACATTGTAGCTGTGTATTTTGTAGAACACAACAGCCAATTTGGGTCCAGCAATGTCCCACAAACAGCTAAGAAATGAACAATCAACTTTATCTGGGGGTTTATTAGCCAGGACACCAGAAAATATTCCCTTCTCTTTTCAAATAGTGCCATAGAATATTTAATGGGAGCCAATCAGGAGAGCCTCAGTCTTGTAGACATCCAAATGTAGAAAGTTGGCTCTCATCCAGGACTTGATGTCTGACATCAGGACAGCAGTGGTCCTGGAGTCAAGTGTGGAGGAAGAGAGATAGAGTTGGGCGTCATCCGAATACATGTGGAAGTTGACCCCCATGTCTTCGGATGCTGTTACCAAGAGGGAGCATATAGATATTGAAGAGGAGGGGACCAAGGAAAGAGCCCTGAGGAACGCCACACGAGATGGTGCGGGGGCTAGAGGAGAAGCTGTTTGTGGAGATGAAGTGGAGACGGTGTGAGAGGTAGGATCTGAACCATTCAAAGACAGAACTGTGAAGGTTGAGGTGGCACAGAAACCCGATTGAAGGGGTTCATAGAGGAAGTGGTGGGAGAGGAAGGAGCGAAGCTGGGAACAATGATTTGTTCCAGGACCTTGAAAAGGAAAGGGAGGTTGGAGATTGGGTGGTAATTTGAGAGCTGGGATGGGTCCACGGAGGGTTTTTTAAGGATAGGAGTGATGATGGCCGTTTTTAAAGGGGTGGGAATGGTGCCAGTGTATCAACTATTCTTCATGTAGATGCTTTGTCTAAGTTCCACTTCAGTTTACCACAGGAGAGTATAAAGTTCAGGGGTAATGATCAGAATGTAATCTAGATGTGAAGTTTATGATATTTCATAATAGATTTGCATAATGATTTATATATGATAATATCAAATTTAATTTGTTATGAAATATCACAAGGTTACTCCATAATAGTGTTAATATTAATTGCATTATAATAATCAATAATCATAATTCTTGCAATTTGATATGTCAAAAGGACATATATCACTTCACAGGATCTACTGTAAAGTTGAGTGACTGTAGTTGTAGGCATTATATAGCTAATACACCGTCTGGAATGCACTGCCTGAAATGGTGGTGGAAACCGATTCAATAACAATTTTCAAAACGGAATTAGATAGGTACTTGAAAAGGAAAAAATTGCATTGGTATGGGGAAAGAGGGGGGTGGGGAACTCATTTGATAGCTCTTGCAAAGAGCTGTGGTGGACAATCATTGCTTAACATGATGACAAGATACACTATAACCTCTGTGGGTGGCTATATTTATTGTACTTTTCTCCTCTACTGAGTGGTAGGCTATATAACCAGTGTTAATGTGTTGTTTTCTGGTTATGCCGAAGTATTCATCTCAGAGATCCAACTTACTGCTCCTTAAACAGAACAAAGATTGTAGCACTTCACTCTTAATTATTGGCCGTGTGTGCTTTTTTTACAGTGAGTAATGTTAAACACCTCTCAGGCCTGCACCAACTAGGATGAGAAGCATTCGGCCACTGACCTCCGATACTAGCCGCCAGTCCTTGTGCAAAGTAATTAATAATAATAATAATAGTTCTTCTGTGTTAAAGACTTGCAGTCAATCACTGGAGACACATTCCACCACAGGGCTGATTGGTTAGTTTGGGGTGATTGACATTACTCTTGGGTTCAGTTTGAATTATCGACTGGATGGCAGGGAGGGTCTTGGTGGTGAGAGAAGCACTCTAGCTAATAGAAGTCTCCCACTAAATCAATTTATGCCAGAGCGGCAGTGCACCTACAGGGAGCTGAAGGTTAGAAACCCAAACAGCATTTTACCCTGTAAGATTAGTGGTTAGCATTCTCTAAGTAATTTAGCTGATTCCTTCATTATTCCATTTGATTTAAGTGTCTTTAAGAGCAAGCTGCAAGTATTCTTTGCTGCTGGAAAGCACTCATTTACATGGAAATCTATGGCAAAGGACTGATAATTGAATGCTACCAGTCAAAATGTACAATTTTCCAAACGTCAACTCCAAAACGGGAGTCAGATTGTAACTACATCATTGTCCTGCCAGGCTGAGTCGATGACTGCAATGTATGCTTGTGCTGCTGTAATTTCTTTATGGCTGTCTTGTGTCTGGCTTATTAGAGTGGACCTGCATTAATATTGTGAGCATGCCCTTCTTGCAGGAGCCTGGGCTGCTGCAAACGCTGGCAGCGAGCAATGGTGTGCAGGACGTTTCTGTGTAATGTTAGTTAAGCGATTGCTTGTTGCATTCTGCTGGCGACAGGGGATTTGTTGATGGTGCTAGTGGTGTTGATGGTGCTGGTGATGTTGGTGGTGGAGGGTGAGAGTATGAAGCTGCTGGAAAATGAGTGCCTTTAGTTTGGAGAATGCTGGTAGTAGATCAGCAAAAGCTGAAGTGCAGAGAAGCAGCTGATAACAGTAAGTAGAGCACTGACTTTTTCAATGAGCCCTGCCTTCTACTATGTTTTTTCCCCTTTCCCTCCCTCCTCTCGATTGCAGACTTGTCCATAACTGTTGATTGACTCTAGATCCATGAGGTGCATTCTTTCCCACTGACTCCTTCAGTACAGTCAGCTAATATTGCAAAACAAAATGTTGACTTTCAACACCCTGTTTTATAATAATGTAATAATATAATAAGGATTAATAGTGTAATAGAGCCTTTCACGCCAAGAAAAGTCTCAAAACGCTTTGCAGGATTTACTGTAAAATGCAATGACTGTATTTTTGTAGACAAACATGGTATCCCATTTGTGCACAGCAATGTCCCACATATTGTGATGAAGTGAATGACTCATTTTATTTGGGGGATTGTTAACCGGGAAATTGGGAGAAACTTCCTTTACTTTTCAAATAGATTACACAATAATAATAATAATCGTTTCATTTAATATAGCACCTTATCGCGTCTTCGCGACATCTCAAAGCACTTCACAGAATATACTGTAAAGTGAATTGACTGTATATTTTGTGGGCGAAACGTGGCAGCCAATTGCACACAGCAGTGTCCCACAAACGGTCGCGGATTGAGTGACCGAATTATTATTTTTTTAAAAATTTGAATGATTACCCCATAAATGTGATCCGCTAATCGACTAACAACCGGGTTCCTACTTAGTGCTAGGTGAACAGAGGCGTGTGAAGGAAGGAAACGTGCTCAACATTTCACCCTGCCCGGAAATTGAATGACTTCTCTCGCTTGCTAAGCTACAGGACTCCAAACATTCTATCGAGATTAAATATTATAATGGAAAATCTTGTAAACGATCAAATCTCTGGTGGCGACATTAAGCTTGTTGTTGAGGAAAAGACAGCTATAATACAACAGAAACTAATGAGAGTGTAAAGTTGTTTAATGAGTCAGAAGACAATAAAAGGGCAGCAAATGGGAAACTAGCAAAGACTCTGTTTTTTCTTGGGAAAAGATGTGTATTAGTTTCAATTTTAAAAATATCTGTGACAGTTGGATAATTTAACTGCCTCGGGGAGAGAACGATGAGACTAGTTATCTAAAGGAGGACTTCTGGTAGTTTGTCTGTACATGTTGTCTGCAGTATAATCTACAGTGGCAGATTGTGAAAGATCGTCAATATGAGGTTGATTAAAAAGGTCTTTTATTTTAAGTCCTGGGACAAACCTTCATGGTGATAGCAACCATGTTGTTTAAGTTGCAGGCTCTGATAGAATGCCTGCTATAGATTTGATATTTGAAGTCATTGGTGTCTAAATCATGGTGATTTCTAATAGGATTCCTGTCACAAGTGGGGATACCCTCCGTGACCTAATCTGCGTCAAACCCCAGAAGCAGATGGTGTCAGGGTCCAGGTTCCACTGGTCAGAGTGATAACCAGAGGACGGCTACAATGCTGCTCTTGAGTGCTTATTAAAGCCCATTAAAAATCACCACATTTGAATGCCATCTAACACAGGAAGGGTCTTTCTAAATTGCCTAGATATGGATTGATAAATTATGCCATTCTGGGTAGTAAGTGTCAGTCACGCAACTTTTATGTTTTGAAGACTAAGTTCTAATACACACTGCTTCATTAAAAAGGCTCTGTTATTTTAGCATTTTTGATAGTAAATTTGCTAATGCTGAATGATCAAATAGAAACACTGAATATAAT